AAAAAGAGCCCGTTAATTTGTTTATAAAGAACTAACAGTATATTTCACAGAAACTCAACAATTGGAGCTCCTCTATCTGGACCATAACTGTTACCACAACGACTTCTAATAATTCCAATGTTGGCTACACTTTTAACATACATAGTTTTACTTTTTGGGTTTTCAAACATTTGACTTTTCCGGACGAGCCATTCGCTGTGCAGTGAGTGTTTACACAGCTGAGAACGCTGCACCGCAGCACTAAACTCAAGCTAGCATGTTTACTTACCGACAAAAAAGTTTACCTAACGCACTAGTGTCGATAAAATGACTAAAAACCACATAAACGCGCTGTGACTTCATACACACTCGACGACGACTACATGTTTGTTTGATAAACGAGATCGATTGTTCCGGTTTAATTTAATGCAGTCTCTTGCTACGCATGCGCAAACTATCGAGAGGAAATTACGTAAATTTAAAGGTCCCGTAGTGTAGATTATCGTTAATGCTGAAAGAAATTTTAGATGTGCGCGGAAAGAAATAAAATAGATAATTGACGACATTATCAAAAAAGCAACAATGTAGTGTTATCAGTACAGTCAACTCAGAAGACATAACATTTAACTCGAACGAAACGCAGGCTGTACAATTGAACAAATGAAATTACGTGCAATAACAGAAATGAAATGAGATGAAAACCCTGGACCGCAGCACTAAACACACGCTAGCAGGTTAACTTGACGCCAAAAAAAGTTTATCGAGAAAAAATAAATAAATAAAAAAATAACGCACTAGTGTCCATAAAATGGATAACATAACATAAAACTGGTCATTATGTAGTTTAAACGTAAAAAGTTTGTGTCAAGTTATCTTTTCCCTCGTGACATCCACACACGCTCGACAACGACCAAATGTTTGTTTGAAAAACAAGAATGCTCCTTTCCGTTATAATTTAAAAGCACTTGCCTAAATCATGCTGCCAAGTGAATATTTAGTTTAAAAGTCCAAAAAGTATTTTATATGAATATTTCAAAAATCACCCAAAACCATGACTTAGGGGTCCAAAAAGTATTCTACACAGGAAACTTTTAAAAAAATGATCAAAACAAGAACATTTATACATATGGCATTTGCTGTATTTAATGTTAAGTGGATGAAGTTACCATTTTTTTCCAGGGGTATACTGATTTCATTTAAAGTGTTCTAAACATATAAACATGAAGACAGGAAGACTATTGCATAGTTGGCCTGTGATGTTTGCAAACCAGGACACCTAATCATTTGGGACTCTGTGTGGTTGAGTTTTTGTGAGCTGGAAAAGACACTAATTGAAATCACAGCTCAAGCTGGATATGTGGATGTGAGGCAGCTGATTCAGGATCAAAGCAACTTTTATTACTAGCTTTTAAAATGTGCTGAGGATGTCAGGTAAAATAATCCCCCTGACTGCACGTTTATCTGTGGTGGTAATTTGCAGGTCTGATTTTGACAGGTGTTGATGTGACTTTGACAGGTAATGGTTTACAGTAAGTCTGTTACTTACCTTTGTGGGGTCCAGGAGCAGGTCGCTATCCCTGGTGTGACTTAAGAAAGAAATGTTTTTCCAGTGTATATTCCTGGTAACATGATAACCAATAAATAAGCAGAAGAACTTCTCAGCAGTAAAGCAAATATGTTTATTAAGCACTTTAATATACATCGGAAAATTCCACTTCATATTATACAGGAATTCTATTGTTTTTTAACTGAAAGTCAATGTACACGGGAAGCTATTTACAATCCACACACTGACAGTCAAATCAAAGATGACAGACACAACACAGTTCAGACAAACAAGGTAACTGCTTAACAAAGACTATACAGCTTTGTCTTCATAACAACACTGTTCCTAGACTCCGTCCAGCCTTGAATCCTTTTGTTGACCCTTCATGGCATACATTTGAGCAACTGTAGTACTATAGAGCTGAGAGCTTTCACTAGGGCTTACAAGTGTTTGTGCATGCGATAGGTTTTCTGCTCCCCCCACTGATCCCAGGTCAGAGTGAAAAATAGCTCACTGTTAACAGTATGAAAAGCCTGCAAAAATATGACACGGCCTGTAAACGCTAACACAGCTCTGCAGAATTCATGAGAAACAGATGTTTGGGTTCCCTCAGTGCCATATTGGAGCACCTCCTTCTCTCTTTCTCCCACCGGGACTGGAGTTCTGTTTAACTGTTTTTCAGCTCCACAATGGTGGGGACGGGGCGTGGATAGTGCTTTTTTTTAAACTTTGGCTTTTTACAGTTTTGTATTTAAAACACTCCTCACTGATGGCTAAAATTTTAATCGGTGAAACGCATCTTTTAGGCTGATTTTTGTGCAGTGCCCCTGAAATATTCACACACACAAAAAAGAATCACTAAAGATGAACCACATGACGTTGAACAAAAAACAAAGCCTGGATTTAGTTATTTTTGCAGTGCAGTTAAATAACAGATGTAACCTGGACAAATTGACAGATGCCTTTACTTTTCTTATATCACTGCAGTCACGTTAAGTTTACGTGTTTAGCACCAAACTTATGTTAACTGTTCACAATGAGTTTTTTAAAATATATTTTATGCACACAAAAACAACACACACGTCAAAAACAATCCCATAGGGATGAAAATGATATTTTAAAACTCAATTTTCAATGAATCACTGCATCTCTCTTTAAGATTTATAACACAGAAAAGCACAGTGACAACTAAAAAAAATAATTGCAGGTAACTTCTGAACACAGCACCATGGTAGAGCTAATGCAACACAAAAAATGCAGCAAAGTGGCTTTTTCTTCCAAAAATAAAAATAAATATGCATGAATATATTCATGAAATTAACTGCCATTGCTATCAATATATTACACAAATGTAGGTTTAGCACACTGATCAAGGCTAACACAGATTATTTGGGGTCTCTAGAAAGGCAGACTATAAATGCATTAGGTTCATACCATGACATCAGTTACTGTTATGTCCTCTTGTTTGTGACAATGTACTCAGTATTACATTGCTGTCAGTGTTAAAATAATAATAAACAGACAAAACAAAAATAACATAAAACAATGATAAATGAATGAATTGAATGTTTCTTTTGACTTGTTATGACACAATATGGATGGGATACAAATAAAAAAACATGTCTGTCATCTTAACTCTTTTAAAAGTGCATACACTGTTTATTAAATAGCATTACATTAAATTAAAAATGATAGTTTGCATTAATAAATGGCGAGGGCTGTTGTAACAGATGTAGGCATGTTGAAGTTTCAGTTCACAAAAGCCTCAGGCAGCGATTAACAATCTTTCTCTTGGTTATTATTTTTTAGGTCTGCTGGACAAAAAAAAGAAGAAAGAAAAATGCAGGTGAAAACAGTTGCTTTGGCACAAACCTTGCAATGGTCTATGTGACGAATGGCATTCAAGACATCTGCAACGGTACAGGGATGACTGGGGTTAATGTTTATTTTGGGAGACAGGTCTGCTTCTACAAATAGAGATTGATTCTTCATGCACGTCTGATTAAAACCACTTTGTAACTCTGTTGAATGCAATCCAGTAACAACCAATAGTCTGCTATTAGTCTCTGGAAATAGCCTCTGTCAGTGAAGAATTACCTACACACTGTGACCCTAGCCGTAATTTCCTCTGTAAATGCTTGATGCACACATTGACGGGTATCTTACCAACTATAATGGAGTTTCCTTTTTGTAGTTAAATCCAGGGTCTGAGCCTTCAATCTGCAGTTTGAGGGCCTGTTTAAGGCTAAGCTCTGTATCTCCAATGGGATAACTCTCTAGAACATCCTCGTGACCTCTGTTCTGTACAGTCCTAGGAACTGACACTCTACTCAGGAACACCTGATTACCCTGTAGGTGATAGTTGGGGTTGGTCATGATGCCATTTCGCTTCTTCTCAGCACAGCTTTGTTGCTGGATAAAGAACTGATCCTGGTTTTGGCCTCTCTCCTACTGAATTGAACTGCCAATCATGATCTTACAGTGGGGATCCTTCACCGAGATGTTTGCTACAGATTTGTTGAAGGCGATTCTCTTGTCGAACTGTGTCATTTCATACTCCAAAACCTGACCTTGTGTTGATCTACTGTTTTTGTTTTTCTTCTTATCGCCGCCTTTGCTGTTTGATGTGCCATTGCCAGACCTACTTCCAGTTGAAGATTTCAGACCAGGTTTTAACTGAGACCAGTCAAAATCATTGGATGGAGATGATGGTTGCTGACTGGTGGATTTAGTTGTGGAGGAGGGTGACACTATGGACTGTCTGCTCCGGCTACGAGGCAGTGAGTGCTGTTGAATTTGTTCCGTGAACGTCAAGCCATGAAAACTGTCTATCGGCACAGTTTGAGCTGTGGCTGTAGAAGATGTTGTTCTCAGTGATGAGTTCTTTGAACTCTTAAGAGAGTTGTTAGACAAGGAGGATTTCTGTCTATCTACAGTGGAATCTGGTGACTCAGATGGTGAACTGAAAGCATGAACGGGTCCATTTGTCACACCGCGTCCTGATGATTGCATGTCTCCAGCTCCCGTGCTGCCAGAACTGCTCGATTTAATCGTAAGTGACTGCATTTTACCTGTCACAGCCAGAGGTGTTTTTTCTTCCAGGGTGTGCACTGGGGAAGGGTTACAGCCATTTAGAGTTGAAGCCCCATACTTTTCTAAAAGTTTGATGATCATAGAGTGTCCACCTTTCGCTGCCACTCTCATCGCAGTGCGCCCAAACTGGTCAGCATGGTTGGGGTCAGCACCATTTTCAAGAAGTATTTGTACAACATCAATGTGGCCCTCCTGTGCAGCTATGCCCAGTGCTGTTGCCCCCTGGTTGCAGGTGTGATCAACATGTGTGCCATTCTCTATTAGATACTGAACCACTTTTGTGTGGCCTTGCCAGGCTGCGGACTGGAGGGCAGATCGTTTCTCATTGTCACAGGCATTCACGTCAGCATGATAGTTAATTAAGAGCCTCACCATTTCAATGTGCCCTAGCCAGCAGGAAACATGGAGGGCCGTTCTGCCTTCAGTGTCACAGGCCTCTACATTTGCTCCATTTTCCAGGAAATATTCCGTCATTGCCAGTTGATTTTCAAGCGCCAATATGTAAAGTGTTGGTCGACCATCTGCATCCTTGTAATCAATGTCTGCACCGTGGCTCAGCAGCAGTTCAACAATGTCTCTATGGCCTTCTAGTGCAGCCACCCTGAGAGCATTTCTACCATCATACCCTCTCTGGTCAATGCAGGACTTGTTCTCCAGAAGAATTTGCACACAGTCATAATGTCCTTCCTGTGCAGCCAGTATAAGCGGTATTCTCCCATCGTTATCCACCTCTGTGCAACGGGCACCCTGCTCAATAAGTGCGTCGCACACTTGGCGGTGGCCCTCAAATGAAGCCATGTGTAGAGGGGTCCAGCCTGCATCGTCCCTGTGGTTCTCATCCAAGCCTCTGTCCAGCAGAGTTCTGACCACTTCTACGTTACCCTGAGCAGATGCAATGCTAAGCACCGTCCTGCCCTCACTATCAATGCTGTCGACAGCAGCGCCCCAGAAGAGTAACGTGTTGACAACTGATGCATGGCCCATTGATGCAGCTGCAAGAAGCGGGGTACGGCCATTGTTGTCTGTGTGATCCACATCAGCTCCACCTTCCAAAAGTAAATCGACAACATCAACATGTCCTTCATAGCCAGCCACAAGGAGAGGTGTCATACAGTCTTTGTCACAGTGGTCAACTTCTGCCCCTCTGTCAATGAGAAGGCTCACAACAGAAGCATGACCTTTACTTGCAGGAACACAAAGGGCAGCAACGGAAAGGGCAGTCCTTCCATCTACATCTTCATGATTAACTTCAGCTCCATGGTCTAGGAGGTGTTCCACAATCTCTCTGTGTCCCATATATGCTGCAGCAATGAGAGCTGTTCTTCCTTCATTGTCTGCCTTGTTGACCTCAGCCCCATGCTGAAGCAGGTTCAATACTATGTCTTCATGACCTCCCCAAGCTGCAGCTCTTAAAGCGGTTCTACCATCGGCATCAGCACAGTCTACTTTGGCACCAGCATAGAGCAGAGCAGATACAACCTCTGAATGTCCACCCCAACCTGCTGAGCGAAGGGCTGTCCATCCATCGTGATCTGTGTGGTTTATGTTGGCCTCACACCCAATTAGACAATTGACCACTTTGGTATGGCCCTGTCTTGCAGCGAGTGTAAGTGCTGTTTGTCCGTGGTTGTCCTCGAGCTCCATGTTTGCCCCTCTTGAAATGAGCAAGTTAACCACGTCAAGGTTTCCACTGTATGCAGCATTGGACAGTAGAGTTCTTCCACTTGAGTCACACTGGTTTACTGATGCCCCATTGTCAAGTAATGTTCTTATTGAGTCCTCTCTTTCTAAGGCCTGTTGTACAATACACGAAGCATGGTCATCCTCATTATTGACATGCGCCCCAGCTTTTACTAAAAGCTGGAGAACTTCCTGTTCTCTAGGTATGGAAGTAGAGAGAGAGTCTTTAGCAGGGGTTCCATTCCAAACCATCCAAAGAGCAAGATTAAAAGGCTCAATCTGCAGATTGGAATTAACAAGGTGTAGTGCAAATTCTTGCACTTCGAGTGGTTTAAGCTGCTTTGCCCTGCAGGTGTAACTCATGGCCAACATCCGGTGACCTTCCGCTGCATTGCACAAGTACTTTTGTGTACAATGCTTGACATCCAGTAGCCACTCTGCAAAACTGTAGTGAAAGAGGATTTTAGTACCCCCGAGGCCTTCGACTAACAACTTGGAGAGAATGTCCATCTTTTTTTGAAACTCTTCCATAGTCAGTGTCATGTTTTTGGTCCAGACTGCATGGTACAGTTCTTTTACTGTGAGTGGTCTGCAGGTTGCAAGGATAACATTTAGAATTGGTTGAACTTTGACAAACTGTTTTCTGACAAATAGTCTCTGGCAGAGCCACAGGTAGAGACCATTGAGTGTTCCGGGGATATCACGTATTTCACGAAGCATGATGAAGTTCTCCACCACGCCATCCAGCACCCGCTCAAGGTAGAGGAAGCAGCCACTGCTTTTGATGTGAAGTTGATTAAGCATCTCAGCTGTCTCTTTGGTCAGATGCTGCCTCAATGCCTCTTCTTGATCCAGTCTATGAAGGATGTACTGTTGCACATCCTTGACGATGTAGGCTTTACGCAGATCATCAAGGCTGATTTTGCGAAATCCTGAAAGAAAAGAAACGTCTATTAAATTAGCCCTATAACAGATGCAAAATCTCCAGATGTCCAGAATAGGCCTGTATGTATACACATATATCAGTAGGTGATGATTAACGTGACTTTTCCACAGAGCCCCTAGAGTCATTACTCTAAGTCTGACCTTGACATTATACCCAGTATTAATTCACTGATCTTGTACCTTTGGATAATCAGTAAATGCCAACCTTTTACTTCCCAAGCCATGAGGTAATTAAAAGTCAAGACATGGTGTTAAAGAAAAGCCATGCAGGGGAATTCAGATTTTGACCACTGTGGCTGTAAAAACCAAATAAGTTTGCTGGCCTTTTCTGTTATTTTACACAAAATGATGACAAGAAAACACAATTATATTTGGTGCATAAACAAATTCACAGCTGCGCTGTTGCTTAAAGGAAAGTAGAGATACAAGAAAGTATTTCTCTCTTAGCATGTGTTTGACAAAATGTTTAAATTCATTGTGACTGAAGCCTGCTTTACTTACGCAATACTTTTTTAACAGGACTGAATCTTTGGTTGGGGCTGGAAATGTAAATGCAAGAGCAAAAGGGGACATTAATTCCATGCCTGCAACACATCAATGGCCCATTCACTGTCATAGTACAAGGTCCCAGTACAGATCATTACAAATCTCAGAGAAAAGAGAAATTATCACAGTTGGTCTTAATGAATGATCATTATTAGGAATTCCTCTTTGCTATCTGAACAAAATAGCTCTATAATGGCCTTAGCTAATGGACATTGAGTGAACTTGCTGGGATGTAAAAAACAATCTGGTTGCTGTCTGTGTGACCTACGGCTTGAGGGCTAGAAGAACATTTTCCATAGTTTAATTCACAGTTCCCATGGTTCTGATGGTGACTGAGAAAGAAAAAAAGCCAGACCCTAGGTTACTGACACGCAGTGCTGCACCATTTACAGTGATTGAATGTCCTTTTTTTAAAGCTAATGTGTCTGCTGCATTCGCTACAGACACGTTAGCACTTACTCCGTAGGCCAAGCAGAACATGGCCTTGTTGAGATTGACTTAAAAATTGGGTAATTAAGGTTGTAGTTTAAGGCTCCGGGGTTATTGACTGAACATTTTATGTACTCTGAGCTATTGGGGGGAAGAAAATCGATTCAGCAAGAGGAAAAGCATCAACACTTTCATCCCAAACAGTGAAATGTGATTGCTTTGATTACATAACACTTTTGCCTGTACATAATATGAATGAACGCGACTCTTTAGCCAAACCTGGGGCAGAGCTTTGTTCATCTCACTGCTATTTCACAGGCAGAAAAAAGAGGGGCTGTGAAATCGTATTCCATGCAACCCTGGTGGTAACTGCACCTGGAAGCCAGATAACCTGTTGAGTTCACAGTTCCCAGGCAGGCACTGGAAGTTTGGAGTACAGATCCTAGTAAACAGAGAAGCAATTGGTTCTTGTTATCGTCTGCTCCTGAGTTTGTTCAAGATAAGCTCACACCCACTTACAGCACCCTCACAATAATCAGCCTTTGTCCTTAACCTTTCACAACAAAGATAATGACTGTATCCTTGGTAGAAGGTAAGAGTCAGGATCAGTTCTATTTCACCTAAAATTTCACCTAAAAATTTAACACTTTCCAATATTGCAAAAATACAACCAAAAACATATATTTCATTTTAGTTGCTTTTCACTGTTTTCTCAAAATGTGTGAACTGTCGTTCTAATCCAATAGACTTCATTTTTGACTTGTACTATATTGTTGTATTGAAATAACATTAAAAAATAAAATAACATTTTGGGATTAGTGTTTGTCAGGGAACAATGAGAAAGGGGCAGAGGCCATTATGAGCAAAAAGGATATATATATATATATATATATATATATATATATATATACGCACACATTTAGTCCCTGTGTTGATGGTCTAGTTTGCTAAATCCATCAAAGAACTTGAGTGGGAAAAACTAAACTAAATGCTAGAGCCCACCTGTGGAGACACTTTATTATAAATATTTTCTCATGGGAAGGAAATAGTTGATGATAAACAGTTTCTCCTACATCCCACAGTTGCTGACATTTACCAATTAAGAAGACACAGGGACTGCAAAAACTGGAGGAGTAAGAGTGGGAGTAAGAAATTTGACTGTAGCCACTAAGAAGTAAAGCATTTTGGTAGCTATAAACAAATCCTCATTAAATTGAAATTCTATGAGTATAGTGAGAAATAAAAAAACTAAAAAAAAGGGCTAAAAAACTACCAAGGTATAAACAATTGTGGCACATGATCCAGTGTTTCCACTAGATCAGCAGACATCAATGTAAAAGTCATCAATGTTAAATGCAAATCTATAGCATTTTCAGCTCCCTGCTTATAGAGATCAAATTGTCCAAGAAATATTTTCACTCTATTTACCCCAGTTGTTGTAAACGACTAGATCTGGTGCTTTTAGAAATGGTTACAAACACTGTAGTTGTGTGACGTGAGTGTGAGAAAGGTTGGGTTTAGGATCTGCACAACAGCGACTGCTAAACAAGCAACAAATGACACATTCATCAGTGTGAGGGATGCAGCTTCAGAGTACAGGCCTCTGAGACAGCTGCTGCTCATTACAGCACTGGACACCATCCACCAGAGACACAGCCTCTTTTACAAAAGAGGGCCTGTTTGGCTTCTAGATTAATATTTGAGATGACAAACAAGGCAAATAGGTCTGTTCACATGTGTATTGATGATCTAGAGTTCTGAGCTAATGGGCCAAGATTTTCACAACACCATTTTCTGAGATTTGACACGTTCTCTGAGAGAGACACCATTTAAAGTCATCAGATTCATAAGGAAAACAGAAACCCAAGCCTCACTGCACTCTCCAGTAGACCCTCACTGAACAAACGTCTGCTCGACAGCTGGTGCCTCCCTTGCTCCAAAAACACCAGAGCGCCAACCTCTTAAACACAAGTATGTGGACAAGAGTCTGCTCTAACGGCCTGCAGAGAGACCTTTAAACAGAGTACACTGTCATTTTTGTTTTAACAAAGAACACTATTGAATTTCCTTGAATTAAATTCTGTTATGTTTGCAGGCAAAAACAAGAAGTTTATTTTTCAACTTTATGTTAATGTTTAATGTTATTTAAGAAAACAGAAAGAAAAATACTAAAGAGTTTTGCCCAAAATAATCTCCCTCATTCAACACTGCAAAAAAGACCATTACAGAAAATCACTTTGAATTAGCGACTCCACCAAATCCCATACGATTTCCATACTGATTGACCATTGGCAGAGACATGGTAATGATTGCAATTTGAACAATTAACGTATGCCATTCTTAGGGTAAAATACACAAACACATCCGTGCCCAAACAAGTGTCTTGCTAAAAATCAAACATCGTACATTAGACTACATACACATCCAAAAGACATTCCAGTCAAACCTGTCACGATAAATGAAGCTGATGAGGTAAAGAGGAGGAGGTTGTGCATGAAAAAATACTGCTAACACAAAAGCACAGCACACCTCAGTGGGAGAGGCATCAAACCATCTGCTTTAAGGATAAAACATCCATCTTGTAAAGCAGCTGTGTGAGACGAAAAAGCTGACATTTTCCGTTTCAGCCACCAAAAGCGAAACTGGCTGTGCTTGTTGGTCCTAAAGACAGAAGCTCATTAAGACAGCAACAAGAGGCTGAGTCATGAGGCAGTGCACCTGGCCACATACATGTGCGGTCTTTCACCGAATTCCATGTGAGATACATCAGACAGGGTTTTCACTCTATATCACAGAGCTTCTTGCAGCTGCAGAGATGACAGGACATTTCACACCAGTGTAATAAATCCATGAAAACCTTTATAATAAAACCTTTATACAGGTAGTGCCAACCTGTACTTGGCACTACTAAGTAGTCAACCTTCCTGCAGTGCAGCTTATAAACCCATGTTACATGAATTGAATGTACAGTAATGTTAAAATAATTGTAATCGTACAATTTATTCTACTCTGTGACCCTTGTACCACAGCCACATGGCTGTGATCAGGCTGCCTTACCAGGGTACTGAACAGCACTAGTATCGAGTGCCCACTGATTTTCTGGATCTGTACTCCTGCAACTTTAGTAAAACACATTTTGTATCAGTTTATATATATATATATATATATTCAAAAGACAAAAAACAAGAAAAAGGCTCAGAGCAGCAATATTATGACTGAATGAACTACCTTAGATTTTTGAAGAAGTTACTTGATTTAATGTTTTTGTTAAATTCACTATACTTGTGATAATATTTTTCCTTTTTACGAACAGAAATGTATGACTTTTACAGCCTGATGTCACAACAAAGTGTTTATTCAAAGTGCTTTTTGTGCTTGGGTGAACTGCCATATAAATGTACAGTGTCACTTTAACATCCATTTTGTCAACCCAAAATAACTAGTGTTGTTGACACTGAGCTCAAGTGTTGGGAGTTTCCCCTGTCCCACTTGGGATCAAATGTCTTCAATATCCTACCATGTTTTCGTTCATTATTACACAGTCTGACCTCTGGTTGACCTGGTTTAGCACTACCACCAAATAGTTTGAAAAAATGCTTGAGAGCTATATTACAAAATACATATGTCCAGTCGCACACCTACAATTCCTTTTCCAAAAAAGTTATATCAAATCCATATATAAAATACCTTTCAATTCAACCAAAGTAACTCAAGGCTATAATATTTGGCATACCACATACCCAAGGGGTATCACCTTAGGGAAAATGAAACCAGTCATGTTCATAAGCATGCCACTGACAGAACAGCACCAAAAGTGTTGAAGATACAGACATGAAAAACCTGTAATTTGCCCCAGTGTCAAACTACATGGTGGTAAATTACAGTATTCAGCAGGGATTATGGTCTTCAGCTCATCCAAAGTAACGCTCAACATGCAGCCTCTCAGACAACAAGTCATAAATGAATATGGACATAAATCATCATGTCTGCATAAGCCCATTTCAAAAAGACG